GTATATTCCTAGAATTCAGAATAGAAGGAAACAGTATAATAGGTTTTTTTATAATAAAATCTTTGCTTAAAGAGTAGATGATAATTATGTTTTAAAGATCCGACCTCGCGGTTGCGCCTGTAGATCTCGTGGGCCACCTCGAGCCTGGTCCCCTGGAGCTTGGCAAGTTCGGCTTCCAAGAACTCGAGGGCAGCGGGATCCTCCGTCTCAGCTTGACCTCCTGCAAGCTGCCGAGATTTCAAAGAAAGCTTACGGGTTTTCAAAAATCGTTTTACATGTGGCTTATACATGACTTTGGATAATTCAAGACTGGAAGGTCGCCTTCTGCTGTGGTGGCTGGGACTGAGGTCGCCGGGGTAGCGGGCGGAGCGGGCCTGAGATCATGACTCAAACTTAAGGGCTAATTTTGGGTGTTTCCACTGCTACTTGGGGGTGCTTCCAGCTAAAAGGGCTTCCATCCCCTGACAGCTTCAATAGGGCTTCCAGCCCCTGACAGCTTCAATAGGGCTTCCAGCTCTTGACGGCTTCAATAGGGCTTCCAGCTCTTGACGGCTTCAATAGGGCTTCCAGCCCTTGACGGCTTCAATAGGGCTTCCAGCCCTTGACGGCTTCAATAGGGCTTCCAGCCCTTGACGGCTTCAATAGGGCTTCCAGCCCTTGACGGCTTGAAGACAGCTAAAGGGTTTGAAGATTAAAAGGTCAAGTAAATTCAGTCAAGCTGCTCCTGGGCAGGTGCTTTCGCCGGCGGCTGCTTGGGAGGTGGCGACGTCTTGCCCTGGAGCTGGAGGCCCTTAGGAGGTGCAGGCAGTGGCTGTGGCTGCCTCCAGGGCCGCTGACCCTGCTCATCCTGCCCATCCCTCCTGGAGGTCCAATTAATGTGGATCCGCTCCTGGGATTGCTGGCTCCTGGATGAGCGGAGATCCTGGGGCTCCTGGCTGCAGCTCCTTTTTATGCTCATTTCATCCAACTGTACCTCCAGCCATTCGTCGATCGACTCGATTGTTCCTGATTGCTCAAATACCCGGTTAATGAACAACCTGATCGACTGGTCCTGGGGCATCTGGGTGTCGAACTTGAGGCTAAGGTGTTGCACCACATCGTTTTGCCAGTGGCCGAAGGTCTCGCCCTGGCCGCAGGGGTTTTCATTAAGTATATAGTTTTAGGGGATGGGGGCTTAGATAGGGACCGCAACAAGGGACACAAACATATAAAAACAAATATATATATATATATATATATGTACATATTTTTATGTATATTTTTTGATATATATATATATATATATATATATATATATATATATATTATAATGTATGTATAAACTTTTGCTTGTTACTCCAAGGCCGGCCTCGTCCTTGTACTGGCTGTAAAGCGCCCTCCAGTTCTCTCGCCAGGCGCTTGAGTCTGAGTGCTTTCAAATATAGACATCAGCGGTTTCGTTAAATCCTTAAAAAAAAACGCAAAACTTTGTTACGTGCGTGCAGGTGTCCGGTGCCGCCTGGCTGACTGTTTCGCTGGGGGCCCTTTCCCATCGCGGGAATGGCTCCTCCTGGGCGCCCTCGAGGCTGCTGGCCGGCCATGGCTTGGACCGGCTTGACTTGGCAGCTCCTTGGCTGCCTGACTAAGTAACTCCTAAAGCTGCTTCTTGAGCTTGGGAGCTGCAGCGGCCGAAGATCGATCTCGCTTGTGAGCATTTGCCGCCGAAAAGGGCTGTCCAGCCCTTGAAACTTTACTTGCAGGCTCATGCAGCTGGAGGGTCGATGTGTTTTTCACTCATGCATACTGGCTTATGCAGTCGAGGCCACCGGGCTTCCAGCCCTTGCTTGGAACACTAAAAGACTTGAAACTAGGACTCCAAAAACTTAGCCTTCTCCTTGAAGGCCTCTGCCAAAGAGCCGCCCTCGGCGAGCTTCTTCTTCATCTTGGCAACCTGAAGCTTGGTCTTATCCCGACCATGCTTCCTGCACACGATCTGTAAAAGCTGCCTAGAACCGTCGACTCTCAATGCGACACTGTCGTGGTAGTGCATGATCTGCAGCTTGCCCCTTTCAGCCTCCGTCAACTCGGGCTTGTCCTTGTCCTTGGGGGCCTGATGATGGAGAAAACATTCAGGGCTTCACTTAAATACATCTTCCTAGATAGAAATATATGCTTACGAACAACAAAAATATTTTTCTAATGTTAAGATTAGAGGCCGGCTTCTTCTTCGGCTTGTCATTGTCCTTTTTCACAGGCTTAGCGGCTGCAGCTGGCTTCTTCAAAACCTCGCCCTCCCAAGACTTCCTGATTCGAGCCTTGCTGCCTGGCACGGGACTGCCTTCGGCTTCCTGGCTCAAACTCGTCTTGGCGGTCTTGGGAGTGTCCGGAAGCTCCAGATCCCTGGTCCGAATCTTTCGAAGCGGACTGCTCGCAGGGGCTAACGACCGTAGCTTTGGCGGCTTGGTCGCAGGGCTTGGCGTCCCTGTGCTCGGCCGCTTGGCGTTGTGGGTCTCCGCCTGCTGGAGCTTGGCTGGTGAGGCCGACACTTCTGGAAGAAGCAGCGCCCTGAGTTCCTCGAGATCCTTGATCTCGAACTGGGTCGCCTTTCTGCAAGCCTCCTTGAACCTGGTGTCGTTGCACAAGCGGCGAGCATGAGCCATGACGGTCAGCAGCATCTCGGCCGTGTCCCCAGCCCAAGCAGTTTGCTTGCTCAGCGGGGCCTGGTGGATGAGGTCCGGGTAGGCTTTGCTGACCTTGGCCAAGCACTCCTTCAAGTCCTTGTACTTGAAAGCCAAGCCGCTCTCCACCTCCTGGAGTTTCTTGAGCAAAACCGTCGCCTTTGAAAGCCCTTTGGCCTGGACAGCACTCGTCTTGGCTAGGTTGCCGTAGGGGTCGAAGTTGAAGGCGGCCTGGACACCTAGAAGCTTGACGTGTTTCTTGAACACGTCCAGCAAGTGCTCCTGGTCCACCTCCGGCTTGGCGAAGTTGCGTTCGCCGCCGCGGCCAGCAGCTGCGGGGCTGCCCATGGCCCTAAGAACCTGAGGACTTGCCTGGCGGCCTGCAGCACTTAAACCCGACAGACCTGCCTGGAGCTTGAAGCCCAGGACCTGGCTAGGCCTGCCTGAAGCATGCAGCGGACTATGAAAAAAAACTTCAGCTCAGGTCCTCTTCTCGCCAAGACAATTTTGCATGTCAAGCAGGGCTTGATCGATCTCGGCTTGAATTATACCCTGGCAGTAGCCTGCCCTGGATTAGCACTTGAATTAAGCCGCTTCTAACAACCGACCCCTTGAATCTTGGAAACTTGAGGCTTGTCCTGGAGCTCACCTCCCAGCCGCCTGGCACTGGTCAGATCCTCGGACCTGGCGCACGGGCGGCTCAATTTCAAAAAAATGTAGCGTCCACGTGCTCGATGATCCTCGCCCGCAACTCCTGGTCGCTCCAGGACTGGTGTACCTTAAGCCCCACCCGCACTGCTTCCGAAAGTAGTTGAGGCTTCGTCATTCGGCTCAAGGGGCCTGGGTTTGCTTGGAGAGCGATCAATGAAGCATCGTTGAGCAACAAGCGGATGTACCCGTGCTCCTTCATCTTCATGTGCTTCGTCGCCTCCGGCCAGCGCTCGGGGTCGAAGTCCATATCATTCTCGATCTTGTACATGAGGTACTCCAAAAAGTTCAGGAAGCCCACTTCCTTGTCGACATCCCTTAGCTCTATATAAGTAAAAAATTAAATACATAGTCTATATACGGCATATGTATAAGTATATATATGTATATATATATATATATGTATATGTATATGTGTTCATGCCAAGAATCTCCAGCTGGTCTAGGTAACCTCTCCGCCACATCACGACCAAGGACCTCGCGGCTTTGCCTGGAACCTTGGCGTGAAGCAGCTTGGCATAGGCCTGGACGACAATTTCATCATCGCCCTGCATCTTGACCTAGCCCAAAGTTCCTGGCAGCTTGGCTTGAAGACGGCTGCCATGCACGAGATTTGAAGCATGATTCCCCCCCTTCTTCCTTCTTAGGGCCGTCCGCCCCCTGGAAGCTTTGGTTGCAAGACGGCTGCCATGCACGAACCTGCCAAAAATGATTCCCCCGCCTTCTCCCTTCGTGGGGCCGTCCGGCCCACATCCCATCTCTTCTGTCTGTCTCCTCCGTCTCTCTGTCTCTCTGTCTCTCTGTCTCTCTGTCTCTCTCTCTCTCTCTCTCTCTCTCTCTCTCTCTCTCTCTCTCTCTCTCTCTCTCTCTCTCTCTATTTGGTTAGCAAACTGGGGCCGCCCGGGCCGTCGTTTCAGCAAGCTGAAATCAATAGAAACATCCACCTCAAAATCAATAGAAAATCTCCATAAAATCAATAGAAATTTTCCATAAAATCAATAGAAATTTTCCATAAAATCAATAGAAATTTTCCATAAAATCAATATAAAGACCACGATTAAAATCAATAGAAGTCAACACTCAAAATCAATAGAAACACGTACCAACAAAAGTTCCAAACGATTGAAATTTCCTCAAATTCAATAGAAGTTTCGTGTGCCTCCAAAATCAAGCGGCCGATTGAAAAAAATCAAGCGGGCGTCCTCTGGGAGTTCTTACGAGTCCCCGTGGCGGTTGCTATTGTATAGCGACGAGGTTCTGCCAGGCAACCAACTAGGCCACAGGCTGGAAAGAAAAACATGGGCCATCTATGCCAGTTTCCAGGAGTTCCACACCAAGCTCCAGCACGAGGACACATGGTTCCTGCTTTCCATTGCCAGAAGCAGCGAAGTCGCCAGCCTGGAGGCTGGCATTAGCCAGGTATTTTCCAAGCTACTGAGATCCATCTTTTGCAACAAGATTGCAGATCCCAGACTCGGCTTGTGTCTGCCACACGCCACGGACTCCACGCAAGACATCCGACTGTTCTTCACCATGGGCGGGTGGATCCAGGATGGCCTGGCCATGAAGCAGACTTTCTCCACAAAAGGAGATTCCGGAACCAAATTTTGCATTTTATGCAACAACATAAGGAGCATGGCCATCCACACCGAAGCCACTCTGGAAGAAGAAGACATTCCAGGTTCCAATGTCACCCACTTGAGCGAGTGTGAGTTGGCCACAGACCAGGAAGTCTTGACAGCCTTCCAGACCTGCCAGAGGCTGTCGAGGACAATGCCCAAGGACCAGTTCGCCATGTACCAACAAGCAGCTGGCATCACCCACAACCAGCACTCCATGCTGCTGGACCAGGTTCCTGCCAATGCCCTATAACCCCTATTGTAAACCTTCAATCTTTGAAGAAGTCTTTGTGTCCGTCATAAAGGAAGGTAGGGTTTTGTATTGCTTTTTGCTAAACCCTAAACCCTACCCTATGCCTATAACCCTAAACCATGGCCAGGCATTGTTGGACCAGAACATCTTGCGCCCAGTTTCTGGCTACATCCATGATTGGATGCACACCATGGCATCCCAAGGTGTCATGCAGAAGTCCATTTGGTTGCTGCTTTCCACAACCAATGCATGGGACCACATGGAAAGCTTTCTCCAACTCTGGACCATGCCAGGCGCATTGGCCAAGGCTGGCAAGCTCCATGACCTCTTCACTCCCAAGAGAACCAAGTTCTACGGGGAGAACCAGAGGTTCAAATGCACAGCCAGTGAGTGCTTGGGCCTCACCACGCTGCTCCAGTACATGGTCCAGCGCCTTTGGCTGCCAGCAGGGATCCAGGTGGACCAGTGCCACAGCTTTCTGGCCATGGCCCAGGTCCAGGAGATGCTCCAAGCCACCCACATGGGCACAGTGTCTCCAGCCCAGTTGCTGCATCCCAGCCGCAACAAGAAGATGTTTTGTGCAGGTATCCTAAACGCAGCTTTATTTGAGTTTGTCCAATTTTACTTGTACTGAGCTTCGCCTCGACAGATTGCAGGCACCAGGTCCAAGATGCCCTCACCATCTTCAAGCGTGCTGGGAACGAGGCCGCCATGGTGCGGAAGCACCACTGGATGCTCCATCTGAGCACTCAGCTGGAGGCCATGGGGTTCCTTCCCAACTGCTGGCCACTGGAAAGAAAGCACAAAGTCGTGACCATGTACGCCACCAACATGATGAAGATACCAGTCTTCAGCCAGAGCCTGCTCGAAGAAGTCTTGGCCCATGACATCCATGCTGTGCAGACATCGGACAGCTTCGAGGAATCTGCCCACCTGGTCCAGAAGCGACACCCAAGTGCCCAGCTCCACAAGTACCTCTGCGAGTCTGTTTTCAAGGCAGCCATCGCCAAGGACCATATCTGGACAGCTGCCGCTGCCATGCTGGAGACAGGGGGCCAGGTGCACCAGAAGGATTATGTCTTGATCCAGCAGGAAAACCAGTGGGGCTGGCAGATTGCCAAGGTTGAGTGCCATTTCGAGGCCGCGGATTTGGTTTGTTCTGTGGTCCGCACTTCTGACCTTGTCGAGTACGATGCGGCCACCTACTCAGCTTTGGCCCAGGACACAGCGTCTTTCCACTTCGTTCTTACTGAAAAGATCCTGTGTCCAGTTATCTGGGCTGCAGAGGGCCAGCGAGTGAGAATCTTGATTCCTTGGTCCTTTCGGCCTGGCCAAAAGATCGCATATTTTGCATGGATGTTAAGAGCTCATGACACAGTGCAGTTTTCTTCCTTTTCCCCAGCACAACAGTGCTTCCATCCCCAGCACGACAGTGCTTGCAATGCATCTCCAGCACATAAGTGCTTCCATCCCAGAACATAAGTGCTTCAATCTCCAGCACAAAGAGTGCTTCACCCCATAACACGTTTTCCTTCCGTGGCAAGCACCCTGTTTTGCAAAACTAATTTTCAGCATCAGCACCTTTTACTGCGCAGCAGGACACTCTATAGACCATGTATACGTCCTTGTCTAGGAAAGCTTCTGAGCCAGACAATAGTTTGCTTCGTCGCACATTGCTTTGCAGATTTCAGCATGGCCTCGTTACACACGAGCAAGCAAAACATGCGAACTGCCCAAGAATCAAGAAGCAGTCCCGAGGTCCTGCTTGAAATAAACGTGATCAGAGTTTGTGCATGACCGCCAGCTTTCCAGCTCACATCTCAAACCCTAAAGCTCTGAATTGCTGAACTTAACACCTTGAGGCACTCAGGCTCAATACACCGTGCTGATTTCTTCATGTTTTTCTTGAACACAATCGTAAACCAACAGCTACACACTGTCTTCGTCCTGATTCCACTTCACCAGCAAAAGCATTTGGACGTTCTGTGTGTTCACGGGTTGCACAATTTTTTTGCAAGGTTTTTCTTCCTCCCTTAGCCGTTCTGGGCCCGCAAAAAGTATTATTTTCGTCTAATTTATTAGAAGTTACTATACTTAGCAAGGCCTTAGCAATTGGTGTGCTAAGTCATGTTAAAGCAGCTAAGCTGTTAGTAGAGACACAACGGTTCCAAGCATGGCAAGCGCGTGGACTGAGATGCCTGCCAACGTCAATATTCCAGGCTTTGACATGTTCCAGATTACCTCGTCGATGGACATCGACCCGCTCTTTGTCACTTTCGCGCTGACCCTGGCATCACAGCGGGGAGCGAACTGCGTGGTCTTCGAAGGGCGCATTCGCCGTGCGTGGGTGAAATTTCTTCCTGATGATCCCAGGGGTGCGGACGCCGTCTCCCGAACGAGACATGACGCAGCCATGTGGCACGGCTACCAGGCCTTCGTCCGCGAGGGCGCCGAGTGAGGGACATAAGGCTAACGGCCTGCTCGGTTTTTTTTTAAATTGGGCTCAGTGGTTCGCCACCGTGACCCGGAGTTCTGGCAGTTCTCTCTTGCGAGGTAAAAAACCCTGTATCCTGCTCTTGTCCGGCTGCTCGTCATTGCTCTCACCCCGCTTGCACGCATGCCACTGGGGCTCAGACTTGCGGCGACATACGTCGCTAGCACCTTCACTTGTGTGTCTCGCGGGCCGCTCTGCCTCCGCTCTGCTCCTGAGATGGCGGCCCCTGCCTTGCCTTTGGTGTGGAAACGCCTTGATCAGCACATTAACGTTCGCTATGGCGACCTCTGTCACTTCGACTTGGCGGCCGACCCCGAGTTTCAGCTCACCCCGAGTGACATCGATATGGTTCTCATGGCGGCGGTGGGCATGCGCGCCAATCTGGTTGTGATCGAGCTGCACCATAACTGGCAGGAGGCGGGACACGAGACTGTGAGGGTGTGGTTTAAGCAAGTTGCCAGCGTGGTGGAGCAAATTGCACACCATCGCGACTGGGACGCCAGTGGCCGACAGGGCTACCAAACTTTCTACTTGGGGTGACATGTCTTTCATGACGGTCTGTGGTTCTGGTCTGGACAAGCCGGGCTCAGCTTCCCCAGACCCCCCCCTTTTTTTAAAACAATGTGAAAACACCGTGAACCATGTCTCTACAGGCCACCTGCCGTGACTGGAGGTCTGCGCGGGGTCCAAAAGGGAAGGCTTCGGTGTTAGCGAGCACGTCTCCAGGCAGTAACTGTGGGCAACCGCTCTTGAGTGCGTCGGGGCTCAGGCGGCGACATACGTCGCCGGCCAGTTGAAGGGACGAAATGATCTTAGGTGGTAGTCGGCAGCGCCATGGCCGTTACATTGTTCCACACACGCCTCGTGGTCAGCGGCGTGGGCACGGACATCCATCGGCCCATCTCTCTGGCTGTGGCGTCCCTTCAACATGCGATCTCGGGGCTGGAGCACATACACCTCCAAATGTACGAGGGGTACTTGCTGGTGCAGGTGCTTCCGAGCTTCGTGGACGCACCCGATTTCACTGAACTCCCGGCGTCTTGGCACTTCATGCAACAAGGTGTCCCACTGCAAATTCTCCTTTTTCCATTGCGGGTTACCTGGTGACGATTGCGGACGCCTTGGCGCTGTGCTGTAATTTGCCGGTGATTGTTTGCTCGCACGAACCCAGGGCAGGGCGCAGCTTGGTGGGCCTCCTGGTCAGCCGTCTGAGCGTTCGGTCAGGAGTGACGCGACGTACCCCGATCGAGGAGAGCAGCGACACCATCAGCTCGCTCTACGGCTGCCAGGAGCTGCCAATCAATGTAGACCTGCTTCCCTTTGCCCAGTCCTCAGAGGTTCCCCGCATGTACGACCCATCCGTGCCGGTCAACCTGGGCCGCTACGCTGTGTGGCTCTGTACTGACCCCGCTGTCGTGCATTGTCACACCCTTTGGCTCTTCACGGATACAGATGCCTTGGAAGAGTATGACCACACCCGTTATACGCTGCCACACATTCTCAACCGCTGCTGCTGGTTGGCGCCGGCAGAGAGGCAACTGTCCATCCGCGAGGGATGGGTTCGGCTGTGCAATCCAGCGCCCCTAGACCCCAGGCAAGGTTGGCCGGGTGTGCCTTGTCTGTAGCCACTGATCTTGGGTGGGGTAACCGGTAGAAGGGCACAGTCGGAGGGGAGTTGCTGCACCTAGGCGGCAGAAGACCCTCGCAGTTGTCTAGTCCGCATTGCTGGGCCTTATACGTCTCTGGAAGGAAATAGCCAGAGTGTGGGGCCGCACTGCTTCAGCTTGCAGTGTCTGCGTTGCTTCGGCTTGCTGCTCATGAGCGCTTTGTGTCGAATTGCTCTTTATCCCGCCCTGTTTACTGACGGGGTCGGCTGCCTTTAGGGAAATGAATGCTCTGCACGTCCCTTCTGGTGGCCGTCGTGGGAAATGAATGCTTCTGGTGTTCTCACCATCTGCACGTCCCACGGGGGGTTTAGGGTAGTGAGGCACATCGCGTTTGTGGCTTGCTTCCCTGCTGGGTGGTTCTGCCTACTGGCGGGGGCAAGTTTTCGGGGGCTGTTACTGCAGCTTCTCGTTGGCAGCGGGCTGTTGCTTCACTCGGGTGCTCCGGTGCTTTCAGTGAGCAGCAGTATTGTCACAGACCTGACAGGGATCTGTGCTCACCGGGTGGCTAACGGTGAGGGGCGAGGCCGGGGAAAACGGTCAACTCGTGTGTTTGCTGCCTGCTTTTCTTCCGGAGATTAGCAGTGCCCTCAGACGTCGCTACAGACTGGGTCCCTGGCCGGTCAAGCTTTAGTGGGCCTTTGCTTGCTGTCTGTGCTTAGCTCAGCATGGCGAGGCCTTTTTTCGTGCCTTCGACCCTCTGCTGGATTCGCAGTGCAGTGAGAGAGTGGTAGTGCTCAGATCTCCTGGCTCTTCTGCTTACTGGCGGGAGTGTCCAGGGATAGGGGCAGCAGTTGCTTACTGGCAGCTGCAGCTACTGCTCGTGGGTGTCTATTCGCTCGGCTCGATGTACAGTCGGAAGAACAGCCCACAGAGGAGGCTTAAGCCTTACTCCTGACGAACACTTTGCTGTGGGTCCCATATCAGGTGTAGTCACGGGGGAAACCTGCTTATTGTGCTCTCCTAAAAATCGGCCGCTGCGCGGGGCTGCTCTGAAGTGCGCTGGGCGCTCCAGACTCTGTGATGCGACCGTGCTGCCTTAGCGCCTCGTGCTTCGCGCGGCTTGATATTAGCACAGCAGGGGGAGACCGTGAGCGAACCTGTGTAGTCATTCTACCGTGTGAGTCCTGCCTTACCAAATAAAAACACTCGCGCCAAACCCGGCAGGTTGGGTAGTTTGGCAAGGGGGCGAGCCCTGACAGCTGTACAAAGCGCAGCTGCTCAGTTGAATACTCGCTTGTTCTTTGGGACTGGCCGGCATGATGAACGGCACGCCTGTGTCTTCTTCCCGCTACGGCAAGAGACGGGCTTGCACAAGGCGGTGGTTTGGTGGGGCAAGGTCTATGCGTTATGGGTGCTTAGAGCCTTGCTCCCGGGCAAACATATCATCTTGTCGGATCATGATGCGGCCCCGACTGCGCTATTCGAGGTAGCTGACTTGCAGGATCTGTGCCTTGACACGCAGGATCTACAGGCTTCTTCCGGCGCTGGCATGCCCGCCCCGGACGATACGGTATGGTCATTTGCGCCCACTGTACCTGTGCAAGGCAGTCCTTGCTGTCGGCGCTCACACGAATCCGTAGGTCCGCCGTAGGTGTAATCTTTGTCACGGAGCCTTCCACGGATGCCCAGGGGGGGTTCTCTGTCTTTGCTAAGGAGCCAGGCCGACTTCATACGGAAGTTGGCATTTTGCCACGACACATGCGCGGTCCAGGGTCTTGGCAGGCCTATGTGGACGCTTGTGAGTGCGAGGGTGAAGGGAGCACAATTGGGGACTCGCAACTCTGCCGCCGGTATGGGTTGTCCCCGACGGCACTGGCGGATTGGGCCGCGGAGGTTGTCCCACTCCTTCTGTCGAAGCTTGCACACCTGGTGACGCTGCCGCGTCCCAGGCCCCAGGAGCGGCGAACTGCAGAGCTCTTAGCGGGTACTCCACTCTTTGGCGCGCAGGCGCGACACAGTGGCGATGTTGTCACTGCTTGGGCATACCTGGGAGCCGTTCTTCAGCTGCCTTAATTACTGGTACCCAAACGACCAGGGTTGCTTCAGTGCGAGCATGAAGACCCCCAACCCCGATGACTCGCTACGGGAAGTCTTGCAGCCGCACGAGGAGGCCTTGGGCTGGGCCAGAGGGGCCCATGAGCATGTGCAGCCTGCCGGGGGCCCTACCTCTTCATGGTTAGCAGCTGCGTGGGACCGGCTTTTGTGCACGGCTATGGCGCTAACGGCAAGGCCCCGCTGGCACAGCTAAAAAGTCTCCGCTCTTTGCCTACCCTCGCCGAGGCACTCTGGGGGTGGCGCGCCATGGTGGGCCGTATCGGGTC